CGACCCGGAGGAAGCAGGCGGCGGCGGGCAAGGGCAAGGGCTCCGGCAGGGGCACTAAAACACCCAAGAAGCCGGCGGCCGGAGCCCGGCGGAAAGCCGCGGGCAGGAAGCGGCAGTGAAATCCGTGCCGCGCTCACTTGCAAACCCAAAGGCTCGTTTAAGAGCCAGCACGTGGTCGGTGGAGGAGCGGGTACCGTGCGGGGGGCGGGGGGGGTCCCCGACAGCCGCCTGTCACGCTAGCAGGGCCCCGGGCAGTTGCTGTGCTCCCGGCCCCTCCCGGGCTCCAGCTGTCCGTCCCCCAGCCTGGCTCCCGGCCCCTGCCGCTGATCTCAGCCAGGTCTCATGCCCCTTTTCGAGGTCAGCAGCCGCTAGCAGGATCCTGCCCGCAAGAGGTTGGAGCTGCCCCAGAGAGCTCCCTCTTCCCCCCTGCTCTCGTGTCCGTGCTCAGTGCTTCGCGCCGGCCTCTGCAGCGAGGACAGAGCCGGCCGTTTGAGCTCTCCGGGGGGACTGGGACTCTCAGCCCAGGACGGCAACCTGGGTTGCAAGCGGCAAAATGTCGCCAGCCTTTGCTATAGGGCTGTAGGAAATCTGGCACACAAGTTATGTGGAGATGCAGCTTTTGGAGGCACTTTTCTGGTGCCTGGTCAGTGATCACTGATTGCGATCAATATCTGAAGAGTAACCCATGCTTAGAGTTATTATTTGGAGTTTGTTTATGTGCCAAGGAAATGGCTCGTCGTAACTTCGTTTGACCTGAAAATGGCAGATTTTGCGCTATCCGTGCAGCCATCCTTGCACCCCCAGAAAGGCCGTCCGAATGCGTGCAGACAAGTTGCTGTTTTAACCAAATCATTAGAGAAATTGCACCAAAAAAGAACATTGAATCTCAGCCTCCCAAGAAGAGGTTCTGTTGTTATTTCAAGTGACTTTAAGTACCTGTTTTTAGTTTCTCGGGTCTTGATACGCAAAGGAAAAGGCTAGTTTTGAACTGGAGCTGTTTTAAGTTTCCAGAAAGAAAAGAATTCGTGTGGGTAAGAACTGGGCCTAATGCATGGTTGGGATAGACAAAGACAGGCATTTGGGTATCACGGTACCTTTCTCCAGGCCTCAGAGAGAGAAGCAGACATAGAAGAGCTAAGAAGCAGAAATATTTAAGCCCAGCCCTTTGTACCAAAAAGCTACACATGAAAGCACATGTTCTGCAGAATTAGCTAGTACCTAATTCTGTAGACGTGCTGCCTAGCTGAAGCACCAGCAGAAGTCAGAGGGTGCCGTGTATTAATCATAGAGGGTGCCCATCTATTATTAATAAAAATGCCATGCATGCAGTTTTAGCTTCTTTTAATATAGTTGAGCAACTGGAACAAAGGGAAGAGTCAAAAGAGACAAACAGGCTGGAGAAAATCGGGAGCTGTGAAGCTCTTTCTTCCACCTCCTCCTCCTCCCCCTGAAGAGTGAGAGTCTAAAGGGCTAAGGCTGACCACCAATCGGGAAGATGGCTTATCCTGTCCCTTGGGGTGACAATATTACTTGGGAGTTTGTACTCAAGAGTTCAAAGAAAGGTCGGATTGTCTCCCCGGTGAAAGATCCTGGTGGAAAAGTGAAGATCGGGGCTTTGTTACCAGCATCATAAAACGCCACCAATCCCCTTTCATAGTCCAAATAAATCCGAATCCTTGTGGGAATCCCATGCGCGTGCAGAGTGGTTTCAGGAGAAGTGAGAGCCTGGTATTTCTCCCAGTATTTCCGCACAGCCCAGATGCCCTGCTTGGCTGCAATCCTGTTCCCCCCTTTTTTCTTCACAGATTCCTTTGCTACTCCCAGAACCCAGACTGCCTCTTCCCCAACTTCCACCTCCCAATAATGTCTCCCCGAAGTGAAGCCTTCGCAGCCAAGCACGCAAGGCGCAGCATCAAATCTCTCAGGGCTGTCAGGCACCTCCTGCTGTGTGACTCCCCAGTTTACACGTGTTCGATCTGGAGACAGACGGAGCCAAGAAAACGCTGTGTCGGGATCCAGAGTCACGCTCACTGGAGACAGGGAAAAACAAAATATAAGAACCAGAGGCAGAGCTTGGCCTGAGGGAGGGACAGGGATTGGGATGATCTGGCACATTATGTCCTCTCTCCATTCAAAATGTTCTGTTGCCATCTTGGGGCCATCTGCCCCTTATTGCCTTGTGCATTGGATCAAAGGGTCTTTTTAAGTTTTCATCTCACCCATTTCTGTTCCACCCATCAAATCACAGGGAAAGAAAAACTCCTCACCCTTCATCACTTGAGTACAGACGTTTGCTGACCAGGCTCACCTGGTAACTCATAAAATAGTCCCAATTGATCATCTTGGTATCACAGTGCCAGCCCCCTCCCAAATATAAGACTGGCTTAAACAATAATAAAGCATTTTTTTAAATACATCTTAGTTTCTTCCTATTTGCATTTCTTGTGGCTCAGAAAGGAGAAATCCATGGGGACAGGCTTTCTGCTTTTCCACTATAATCACAAGAACTAGGAATTTACCGTCAACTGAAAACAAGATTCTTTCAACTACGTGTTTTGCCAACCAAAAGGCAGACAAGGTTCTTTGGGTAGATGTGGTATCTTTTATTAGACCCACTAAATCCTTGGAGAAAATTGTTATTAGTAAGCTTTTGGGCACAAACACCCTTCTTCAGGCATAAGGAGAGTCTGCTGGTGTTATGTGTGCTCTCCTACCAAAGGGACTGCAAGTAGTCACAAGCCTTGCAATGAAATACCAGGAATTGGGACCACTGCATTAGTGAGTAATAACTTCCTTGTCTTTCTATCAAGCATCTCCAGCATAGGTGGGCTACTTTTTTAGCAGTGATTCCCCCAGTTTGATTCCTGTTGCTTTGAGTGGCCCCAAACAACTATTTTCTCCTGCTTCAGGAAACTATGCATTGTATTGTCCACCCTCCCCACAAACCCCCAAATATTTACCTCTGTCCACCTTTGGGTCAGGCAATAAGCACACTAAAAGAAGAAAAAACACACAGCAGAGATCAGATCATGGTGGTTACTCTCAGACTTTAATACCAAGAAAGAAATGAGGGTCTGGACAGGTGAAGCAATGACACTAAAAACCCAGAGATAATCTTAGCAACATAGTGCTCTGCAGTGTATGAATTAGAAAACATTTAGGACTGCTTTCTTCTATCACCTTTGTACTAGAAAAACAGACCCTGGGATCCATTCTCGTTCTATCCCCTAGGCGCGTCTACACGAGATGTTTGCTATCGAGCTAATTAGCTTCGCAATGAAAATGTCACCATCTACACACGTGACTTTATTAGGTCGCAGTAGATTAATAAATGCCACCGCAGGGTAGTCCAGCTAAACACAAGCCGTACCCTGTGGCAGCATTGTTTTGTGTGGTACAGCACATATGTAGGCAGTGACAGGGCTGGCTGGGGCACGAGGGTGCTTCAGCGTAGGGGCTGCCTACTGACCAGCCCCTCTGCAGCACATGGAGCCTGGTCAGACCAGCCCCAGCTGGCAGCCTGACCCCTGGGTCCTCTGCCAGCCTGGGCTGCTCTGGCCCACCTCAACATACTGTGCATGAATAAACTCCGGAGCAATTAGGTCTGGAGTTTATGCATACGTATTAATCACACATGTAGATGTGCCCCGAGTGTGAACTAGTTTTAACTCCACAGAAGACACCAGGATGGATTCCCATCATGCCCATCCCAATGTAAATGGAGAGTAATCTCCCTGGAGTCTCTGAAGCTGATGCCTCTCTCTCTCACAGGAATAAATAGATTAAAGGCATGCCTAAGCCTCGTAGCTCACTGGGCTTTCATGGTTTCCATAGTCAGCAAACACAAGGAAGTGATGTGTGGAGCCTTCTGGGCATTTAACCTTTAACTCCCCAGACCAAAATGCCCGAGTAAACATATACAGCTGGCTTTGGCTTGGCTCCAATGGACAATTCAAACTCATACTACTGGAGCTGAATGAGACGCCTTAAACCCTCTGCTGGAGTTCTGCGCCCATCTTGTTTCCCCCTCCCAACTCCCAACACGCGCTTTCTCTCTCAGCCCAGTGTAAATCAAGACTAATTCCAATGGAGTCACCAGAGCTGATTTTCTATTTCACTGGTGCTGGTATAAAAATCAGGAGTAGCCTCCCTAGCGACAATTTCTCACTCATTCACCCTATTGTGAATTAGCATCCAGCTTCAGTGCAATCATCATGAGAACAGGACCTGCACAGACACTCACACTCCTCTTTAAGCTCTCCGTTTCCATATTACCTTGCAGTTTCTCCAGAGCCTCCTGTAGAAAAGTAATATCTTGAGAAAATAACCAAATCCTCCAGTTTGTTTCAGGACGAGCAAGTGCTGAGGGCCAGGCTCTCTCTGTCTCACATCTGGAAAGAGACACAGAGTTATCCATCTCTTGACTATTCAACCTAAGGCATCAGCCAAAAAGCTGGGCTGACAGTCAGTTCCCACCCGCAGGTGACTCCCTTCCCCCTCTGGGCGGGCAAGGGGAAATGTCAGAAGTCTCAGGATTGTGGGCATGGGGTGGGACTGGGAGCTTCAGGGAAAGACACTCCCATGCCTGTCCTCCCCAGGCTCCAGGAAGGTGTGTCCTTCACCTGGTGCCCAAACCCCTTCTCAGCTTCAGGAGTCAGGGCATGAGAAGCCACATACCTGTTCAAGGTGCTTCTGGCATCCTAGAGTGGAGAAAGAAAGAAGGAGTTAAGTCATGTGTGGCCTACGCTTGGGACCTTCCTGCTTTGGATGGACTCCATTAGGTCATGCCCCAAAACAGCCCCACTTCCCTCGGTCACTTCACGTCCTACAGGAGGCTTCAAGACCTAAATCTTTCCGCTCCTGTCAATGACTGGATGAAACCAGGAATAAAGCCTTTGCAGCTGGGTGGGGAAGGAGGGAGTTTTCTCCTATTCAAGTCAGATCAAGAGATTTTTCTTCCCCACAAAGAGCAAATGGCAACGTAGGCATGGAGGTCAGCTGTGGCCAGTGACTGTGCGGGGCTCTGGGGGCTGCTCACGCAGTCTCACCTCCAGAAATCCCATTGCTGGCTCCTCACATTTCTCCTCCAGTTCCCTGAGCAGAGCATCAAGACAGGAAAGCTTCTCTGAGAGCTGTGTGATACTTTCATCCTTCCTGGTCTCTATGTCTCTCTCCAGCTCTTCCAACCAAGCCAGAAAGAGACGCTCTTGTTTTTCCAAGAACCGGTGCAGTCGCTCAAATTGAAATTGCATCTTCTCTTTCTCAATCTCTGTTTGCTTCTAGAAGGGACACAGAAGGGCCAGAAACATGGATGAAATCATGGAACGTGTCACTTTAAAGGTAGTTTTCAAAGAAGAAAAATCTGTAAGCTACTATATGTTTTATAAAGAAGACCTAAAACTTTATAATTAGTACATTTTTTTTTCTATTTCTTGACATTAGAAATGTTTTTCTTACCTCTCCTGGAAGACTGTGCACACTAGATAACCTCATCACTGTCTAACACTGAGTCTAGAAGAGAAGGAGGGGTTTAATTCAAAATGTTCAAAACTTTAGCTCCACTGACACCTCATTTAACGTGGCAGATAACAGACAAAAAAGTTGTTAAAATTTCTCCTTCCATATCCCTGGCTCCCCCAAATCTTCCCATAAGCCATAGCTGCAGGGAACTGTTTCAGGTACTGTAGGCTGTAGACATGGTCAGTGACATTGGTGACACGTAGGGGGTGCACATGGGTGCACGTGCACCCCCTATAATTGGCGGTGTAGCCCCTGCGATTGGCCATCACCACCGTTGCTTGCCACCCTCCCCGCCTTGCTGCCAGAGGCATCTGTGAGCAGTTGTAGAGCATCACTGACCACCGCTGACACTGCTGGTGGCATCTGCAGGTAGTTGCCAACTGCTAGTCGGCACGTGCCACCATCCCGCTGTCGCCAACACTGCTGTGGCCACCTGCGGGAGCTCCCTGCTTGCCACCACCACGCCACCACCGCCGCCTGCGGGTGGGCACCGTGCCCCCCCAGCCCCAGGCCCCCCAGCCTCAGGGGCATGCATCGTTCATGGTCAGTGACTGACAGAGACTGACTTGTGCGGACTATGGACCTAGCAAAAATCTGAGTTATGAATGATATGCTTCTGTAAGGCTCAGGTCAAGCATAGTGCCTGTTCTTAACCCGGCAGGTGAAATACCACGTATCTGTCCATGAAGGAAGTTTTCCTAAAGCGCACCCGGAGAGAACTGCTCTTCTGGTGTGGTTCAGTACCCGCTGAGGTGCAGCGGCTTTAAGCCCACTTTATGGAAATGAGAGTCTCCGTCCTAGCTTGCTCCGAGGGCCTTATGGCTAAGGGCAAGAAAACTCGGGGGCACCTGTACCCCACACCCCAGGGCTTGGGCCGGCAAGTAGGATCCCTGCCAAAGGATTTGGAAACATCTGAAGCCCCAGGAGTGGCTGGAGGACGTTTTTCAGTCATAGGGCTATTTATGGTTCTGGACTGCCTCATGGATTTGGAATTGGATTTGGCTATTTTGGCTTGGAACATGGATACATTTTAAAAAATCCTAAATAGTAGCCTGGGAAAGTAGAATAAGAATCTGTTTATCAAGTCATTAATATCAGACTAGGCCAGGAATGAATGCCTGCTTGTTGGAGTTTTGTTCTGCCGTTTGATAGCAATCGATTTGTAAGTAGTCAGCTAGAACCCTATTGCAATAATAATGTGTCTCTGTTAACCCGTTGTGCATTATAACTGGCCTGCTCAGCAAAGTAAAGAGAACATGGTAAGGAGCATTCCCAGATGGTGAAGGAAAGAGATAAGAAGCTGTACTTCCCAGAACTGTACTTTTCACAAGGACACAAGCCCCATTTAACTGGTGTCTTTCAAGTCCACAGGAAAACTGGTTCAATCCAATTTCCAAAGTCTCAGTAAAATAAATCAATTTGAATAATGTCAATGAGAATATGACTCAGAGGGTGGTGGTGGATGGGTCATATTCGACCTGGGGGGAAGTGGGCAGTGGAGTCCCCCAGGGCTCGGTGCTTGGGCCCGCGCTGTTCAATTTCTTTATCAGCAATTTGGACGACAGGGTGAAAAGCAACCTGTTCAAATTTGCTGATGATACCAAAATTGGGGGTGAGGTGGGCACGCTAGTAGGGAGGGAAAGACTGCAGCAAGACCTGAATAGGTTGCAGGGGTGGGCTAACAAAAACAGGATGCGTTTCAATACTGACAAGTGCAGGGTGCTGCACTTGGGCAGAAGTAACCAGCAGCACACATATGAAATGGGAAACTCCCTTCTTGAGAGCACGGAGGCAGAAAGGGATCTTGGAGTCATCATTGATCCCAAGATGAACATGGGCTGACAATGCGAGGTCACGGTTGGCAGGGCTAACCGGACCCTATCGTGCATCCACAGGTGCATCTCAAGTAGGTCCAAGGAGATGATCCTCCCCCGCTACGTGACACTGGTCAGGCCACAGCTGGAGTACTGCGTCCAGTTCTGGGCACCGCACTTCAAGAGGGATGTGGACAACATTGAGAGGGTCCAGAGGAAGGCCACCCACATGATCCGGGGACAGCAAGGCAGACCCTACAATGAGAGGCTACGGGACCTGAACCTGTTCAGCCTTCACAAGAGAAGGCTGAGGGGGGACGTGGTGACCGTCTAAAAACTCACTAGGGAGGACCAGAAGGGTTTGGGGGAGACCTTGTTTCCCCTAGCACCCCCCAGGATAACAAGGAATAATGGCCACAAGTTGTTGGAGAGTAGGTTTAGATTAGACATCCATAAGAACTACTTCACAGTCAGGGCGGCTAGGATCTGGAACCAACTTCCAAGGGAAGTGGTGCTGGCTCCTACCCTGGGGGTCTTTAAGAAGTGGCTCGATGCCTACCTAGCTGGGGCCATTTGAGCCCAGTTTTCCTCCTGCCGAGGGAGGGGGTCGGACTTGAAGATCTACCCTGGGGGTCTTTAAGAAGCGGCTCAATGCCTACCTGGCTGGGGTCACTGGAGCCCAGTTTCCCTCCTGCCCAGGCAGGGGGTCGGACTTGAAGATCTACAAGGTCTCTTCCGACCTGACTTCTATGATTCTATGTATTTAAATAACCCATATATAAGTACTGGGTATAAACAGGGAATTTGGGGAAGACCTCAGCAAATTCAAAGCAACCTGCTGCCAGCCTGCATCCTACCTTCCTCCTCTCTCCTGTGTCTCTCCTCAGCCAGTATAAGTGAAAATCTGTATTATGCTATTGCAGGTAGCTAGATAGGCATAGAGACAAGTGGTTATTCTAATGTTTTCAGGGTGTTGTCAAGAAAAGATTGGGTTATAGATCTGTCTTACCTCTTTATCTGACTTGGGTGGCAGAAGTAGCTTACCTGCTAAGGGGGAATGGAGGAGCACTGGAAAATGTGATTGTATCTTGACTTGCTATATAGAAAGGGTAATCTGGAAAGGAATTGTAACTGTCTTTGACTTCTATGTCTAAGCCTGCAGAGAATAGACAGGCTGTAGTCTTGTCTCTCAAAAGACCAAACAGTGCTGGGTTTTTTGTAACAGTGCTGTGAGGGATAGGGATCCAGGTGTACCACAGTGGTATTAGATCATTAGTGTAGGTACTGCATGCAATGGTACTTGAAACCTTATGGCCAGTATGGGCACATGGCACCACTGATGCTATCCTACCTATTCAGTTGTATAGTTTGAATAAAAGCCATGGGAATACAACCCAGAAGCCTAACTTCCATGCATAGCTACTTTAACCACTAAATTACAGTCCCATCTCTGAACTGAGAATAAAAATCCAGGAATCTGAATTCCCTTCCCCTCCCCTCTCCCACACACTCACACCAGGAAACTAGGGAGAGCCCAGGAATATGGACTCCCAGCCTCCTTGCTCTAATACTAGGCCCCACAGTCCTCCCAGAGGCCAGGATACAGCCCAGGAGTCCTGATTCCAAAACCTACTCTAACCAGTAGGCAACTCTCTCCTCCCAGAGCTGGGGAAGGATTGCTGCCTCCCAGTTCTCCTCTCCCCCGTGTCACCACTTTGACCGCACTCCTGCCAGCTGCAAATTTCTATTCCCTCTTGCTGCCAATGGGGAAACTGAAGCATCGCGTCACCTGCCCGACACCACACAGGAAGTCTGTGGCAGAGCTGAGAACTGAATCTAGATCTTGACAATCCAAATTTAATATCCTAACTAGTGAATCATCCTTCCTCTTACTGCAGCATACCTGCCCTCAGTGAATCAGGCCTAGAACCAGACCCATGGCACTTACCAGCGGTTCCTGGCTTTGCTCATCCTCTTGGGCTATAAGAGCTAGAATCTCTTCTTTTTCCTCCTCCAAAACATCCAGGTGCCTCCAGATTTGCTCCTGAAAGAATTGGAAGATAAATGTCCATGGGGCTTTGCTTCTCCTCCCCTTTGCCCCCCCAACCCAAATGTGCCCTCCAGCTTGGGTCTGAAGTGCATTGTTTAAACACAGCAGGAAAACATCACGCACATCACTAGGGTCTCAAGTGTCAATTTCCCTGGAAAATGCTCCCCTCGCCAGTAGGAAACAAGCAGCTTCTGGGCAGTTGTTGGTCCTAAACACCACAAAATGGGGAATCAAAAGGATCCGTTCTTCTGCTTGCAGCAAGCAACCCTGAAACCCACCACTTTAATCCAGGGATGGGCAAAATGCGGCCTGCGAGCCAAATGCAGCCCACCAGGCCATTTTATCTGGCTCGCAGGGCCCTTAAAAAATTTAGAAAATTCCTCTCCTACCTTGTATTCCTGGGCAGCCTCCTCCATAGGCACCACAGAGTGATCCTCATGTGCAGATCCAACACAAAACAGACACATGAGGGTTTGGTCATCTTCACAGAAGAGCTTCAGAGGCTCCTGGTGCTTTTGGCAAACCTTGTCTGCTCCCTGCTCCGGCTCTCTCTCTCCCCTGAAGTTCTGGAGCAACTCCAGGAGATTTCCCAGCTGTCTGTTCGGTCTGAAAGTCTTCTGGGGAAAGCTCTCTCTGCATTGAGGGCAGGAAACGTCTGCATCAAACCCCTCCCAGCACTGGGTGATGCAGGCTCTGCAGAAATTGTCCCCACAGTCCAGAGTAACTGGATCCTCAAAATATTTCAGGCAGACAGAGCAAGAAGCTTCATCCTCAAAAGCCTGTGCTGGATCGGCAGCAGCCATGGAGCCTTCTGAGTAGCAGCTCAGCTGAGCAGTTGAGTAACAAGTTTCATTTCCTATTCCCAGAAATACACTAAAGCTTTTTGTAAACCACTGGGTGTTTCCTGCATGTTTGCTGGACTATTTTTTTTCTCCCTTTTAATCTGCATTGGCTCTATGAGCATTGCTGCCGCTGGTGCCTCTTGGGAGACAGGACAGAGGAACTGGGTGGCAGCAGCACGAACGACTCCTTCCCTGATCTGTGCTGAAGGCCAGGTTTTTCAAGGGTAACTTATTTAGGGCACTTAAAGGTTTAGATTTCCATGGTACTTAGGTGTTTATCCCACTACTAGCTGAGGCATCACTAGACCCCTATATGCATTTTGAATCCCCTAAATACCTTTTGGAAAAAAAGTGTCACCTCTCTTTCTCCCTCTGATGGCCAGTAGAGAGAACATAGTTCTCCTTTTCATAGCAGGCCAAGTACCCTGAACTGTTTTTTTCCTATGGGGTCCCCAGAAAGGAGTCACGAGGCAATGGACCACAGACCCGCTCTTGCTGGGTCCTAAACTCAGCACTGCTGGAGCAGGACTGAAGCAGATTCGATTCCTATAGATACATCTCAGTGGTGTAAGGGACTGCAAGGACAAGGTTCAATAAGCCAGTTCCTCCACCGCAGTAATCCCTTAGGATCACTGATTTCCTCTCAGTCTCTCTTTAGCCTCCTGCCCTCTCAGGTCCTTAGGCTACCCACCAGTTACTGACATTTCTTTTGATCCGGGGCTTGTCTGTTCAGGCTCTGCCTTACCCGGGTGTCAATCAGGAGTGGCACTATAAGGGCCAGGGGACTGAATCCTGCTTTGTTCACACCATTGTAAATCAGAAGTGACTTCGTCTAACTGGTCCACGGCTCTGGGATGGGCTCTTTCTGCCAGAGGAGGGGTGGGGGAAGGGAGCTGTACTGTTGCAAGGGACCTGGGGCTGGGGCTGGGACCAGGCTTAGTCACCCAGTGCAAGGAAATGCCAACACACCCTCAGTGCTGGGAGGACAAAAAAGGGAGAGTCCAGGCAGCCAAGAGGAGGAGGAGGAGGAGGGGGAGCAGACACTCAGGAAAAGAACTAATTTATGTTCCTGGGTTGAGCAACCAGAGCCCCCCGACCTTGGGGGTCTTTAAGAGAAGGCTGGATAGGCATCTGGCTGGGGGCATCTGACCCCTGCACTCTTT